TGTGGAGCTGCAGCGAATTAAGATAAGCATCCAAGACCTGAAATGAGCGTTAAATTTGGCGCTTCGTACCTGCTGATAAGGTCGTGACGTTGTACTGAGGCTGAATGAACAGTATGGCCGTCTTCGCTGTCGCCTGGAAATTAGACAAACTCAGATTAGTGACGTGGTTCAGTGATGCTCCCTGAATGCATCCTAAAGAAACTGTAAATGTCATCAGGTGCACAAGTAAAACAACAGAAAGGTGTGCTGTAGATAAACCCACCCAGCATGACCACCTGGGAGACGACTCAGAGCTACAACTGAGCATCCTCACAACAAAATGCACCAGAGCTGTGTTGGTTTGTCGCCTTTCAAAATAAAACATCTGTGAGCTCTTGTCCCAGGTTGCATACTGATTGTAGTTCACTAATAATCGCTTAGATTGTTTGTTTTTTAAGTTATTTTTTTGGCCTTTGTGCCGTTATTGGATAGTTTTAGTCAGAGAGAGACAGGAAAGTGGGGGAGAAGAATGGGGGGAGGACATGAGCGGGATGCGAACCCATGACCTCCACATTGGGGCTGCAGCCCTGTACATGGGACACCAGCTCTACCAGGTGAGCTGTAGCGGCGACCTCGCTTAGATTATTTTAAAATGACACGTGAACATAGGAGGCCTGAAACCATCTCCGGCACTTAATATTAAAAAAATTTGAATATTTTTAATATTTCCATCCCTGATCACTCGGTTTATTATTTTTGTGGTTAATTTTAAGTTGTTACGCACAAAAAAAATAGAGACAAATGCTTTTGCAAAGCCCAGATGAATGTTTTCAGGTAGCTTGTTCGGCTAACAGCCCGAAATCTAACGATATATTTCACATTTATCAAAATAATCAAATAAAAGGCAGCAAATCTTCACCTTTAAGAAGCTGAAAGATGAGATTTAATTTCTATTTTTGCTTGACAAATGATTCCAGCAACCCGTGAGAATCAAGTTTTTCACCTTTAAAGTGTCCGTGGTGTGTTTTTTATATGCTAGATGCCATCATGAGCCAACACCGTGGCTGTAACAGCACTGAAGTGACAGCAGTGGCAGAAACAGCGTCAGACTTGTGGGGTTTCATATGAAACAGACCTGAGAACCAGATCCTGTCAGCCTGCCAGGTGGGACTTTCTGTATGATTGTTCTTTTTCAGAATCGGTTTCTGGTTCTAACGTGTGTGGTTCTCTTTTAAAGAGCAAACTGATCACCTGGTGGGACAAAAAAAAAAAAGACTTAATCATCAAAACTGGGCCTGCCTTGATTTAGCAGTTAGGAATTACCTGCAGATATTATTTATATGCACACTGCTGCCATGGCTCTCTATGTTTTACATCTGTTTTTTTAAATTATATCTGGTTTCTTGTCCTTCTTTAACCCTTAAGAGGTTTCGAATAACCTTCAGAAGCAACCTCTGATGAGAAGACGCTGCTTATCCTGAGCTGGGTTTAGTTTCGTCCGCCTGGTTGTTTCAGTGTTCTTTGTCGATTTTAATATTCTTGGTAGCCTTAGAGTGTCTCCTTGGCCAGGTCTCCTCTGAAGTTAATCGTGAGGGATTTCCAGCTTAAATAAAATAAATAAACGTGATTAAGCAAACAATGAATAAAGGAAACTCTCTTAAGTCAAGTCCAGGCAAGTCGGCGTTATTTATACAGCACCTCAACAGCCAAAGTGCTTTGGAGTATAAAAATAAAATTGGGATTATGAATTAAAGCAACAGGCTTGTTTATGGTGTAAATTTACCAGAGTCATTTAATATTATAAACTTATAAAGCACACAGCTTGACCAGACTGATAAATATGAAGGCTACAGCTTCATTTATTATGGAGATTAACTTGAAAAATAATTAAACTTTGAAACTACAAACGTGTACCTGTAAACACAACAAAGCCAAGGACTCCCTGTGAGCAAGGATATTTTATATGATTTTTATTTCTATGGGACCTCTGTTGGTCCTCTGACTCTAGTTTGGGAACCACACTGCAAACAGTCCAGCTTCCTGCTCACAGAGGAAACAAGTGACCTGTCACCAAAATATCAAATTCACAACTATATCTATAGCTCTGCTGTTTTCTCTTTTTTTCCGAAACGAGAAAAAATGAAGGAAATCCCCGTCTTATGTTCTGCTCGCCCAGCTGTGATCACAGGCAGGGTTCCGGACTGAAACGTGGCTAAAAAAAATAAATAAAAATGCCCAGAGTTTGGCCCGTCTGTGTAACCGAGAATTTAATTAGTGGATGAGAGGTTTAATTAATTGCCAGTGTGAGCGGTGTCAGGTCGAAGCGGTCTTTGGAGCAGCTGAGGCCACGGCGGCAGCAAAGATTGAGACGTGGCAGTTAACTGATAGCGTCAAGGCAGCGACCGTAACCCACCCCGGTTCCGTCTGCTCCTTTCAAAATAAGACGGACGCGCGCTATACAAGCACACGACGCTTTTAGTTTGAAATCACAAACAGCATTACGTTCTGTCACATTTTTGTTCTCTGTGGCGGCTGACGATTTTTTTGGCATCAAAATGTTGCATGAAGACTTGTCTTTGCTGGAAACGAGACGCTCTCAAAAGGGTAAAAAAAAAAAAAGAATAAAATAAAATAACCGTGAATTTAAATCAAGGGGAAGTAATTACGAGATGTAGCTTTGGAGTATGCTAGCAGGAGAGCAGCAGCGGTTTAAGAAACTTAAGAAGGAAAAAACGCGGAAAAGTTTAAAGCACGTAAAGCAATACACGTGTAAAAAAGTTGGTGTCCTGCTTTAGTGCTCAGTTTAAATCATGTGTCTTGTTACGGACACAGCAAGCGGTCAGTGTTCATCAGATATGTAAAAGAAAAGCTGCAGCCAGGAGCTCCGATATCCGCCAAACACTGGCTCAAGTCTCACATGTACACAAACCACCAAGCAGGACTTTTATTTTACCAACATCTCTGAATGTGCTGCAGACTTGCCATCTTTAAAAGAAAAACAGCTGAGTGAGACGAGCGAAGGAGGAAAGGGGGAAAAAAAAAAAAAGAAGAAGAAGAAGGAATCATCTCACCTCAAACATCAATCCAATCAAAATGAAAATCACCAGACTGAACACGATGTCTGCATGGTTCTGAATGAGGAACTCCTGGCTGAAGAACGGGTAACTCTTGTTCCTTCGGCGAAATGCCATGTCAACTCAAGTGGAGTTTTGCCCCTGCTATTTTATAAATCAGAATTTTTTTCTGACTACGAAGTTCAGGAGTTAACTTTCTCGGCGTCCTGCGCATGCGCGTCGTCTTAAAGGGCGAGTGCCATAAATACCTTCTTGGAGGCCGTTTACACAATAAGTTATGCTCAGTGTAGCATGATAAAAAAAAAAAAAGAAAAAAGAGGATTACACAGCTGGTTTAAATGTCCACAAACACCCATTTCACCACGCAATGACTCGTTTGTTTTCTTTATATGAATAACTAATAATACATTTATTTTGTATGGCGCTTTTCAAGAAGTCACTGAACAGGGTGTAAGATAAAAACAGGAACTAAACAAGCTGAATAAAAAGCAGATAAAAAACAAGGTAGAGAAGGCAGGTAAAAATAAAAAAGTAAAATAGTTAAACATTAAATGTTGAAGAGGTGAATTTTTAAAAGGGACTTGAATGAGTGGAGGTCAGAGAGCAGCTCCAGAGGGTGGGAGCAGCAGCAGAGGCTCTGCCCCCCCAGGTTGGGTGCTCAGTCCTTGGTGGTGGGGCGAGAAGGTGAGCAGAGGAGGAGGTGTGGGGCAGGTCTGTGAGGTAGGAGGAGGCCAGATGATGGGGGGCTTTGTGGGTGAATGTGATGTTTGACAGGGAGCCAGTGGAGATGTTGGAGGACGGGGGTGATGTGGTCATGTGGTGTGGGGTGAGGAGACAAGTTTGGAATAAGCTGAAGTTGTTTTGAGGAGTTTGGAGGGTGAACCATAGAGGAGGCTACGGCAGCAGTCCAGTCTGGAGGTGATGAAGACATGGATGAGAGTTTCAGCTGCAGGGAGGGAGACAGGTGATATGTTTTAGATGGTAAAAGCTGTTTTTGGGACCTGTGTAATGTGCTGTTCAGAAGTGAGGTTGGTGTCAAAGATTAGTCCAAGGGTGTGAGAGGAGGGAGTCAGGGATGAATATCCAGCAGTGTAACTTACACAATATAACGCATGACATAGATACTGTCACACACCATCTAGACTGTACAGGATGAAGCTACTGGATGATGATTTGTGTTGGAAAGAGGAAACTGGAACTTTCCTCCACTGCATGTGGGAATGTGTTTTAATCAGACCTTTTTGGACTCAGATTCTAGATGTTTTAAGTAACTGGTTTGGATCAAGGGCTGTGAGGTGGTGCAGTTGGTTAGCACTGTTGCCTCACAGCTAGAAGGTCGCCGGTTCGCATCCTGGTGAGGACACCCGGGATTTTTCTGCGTGGAGTCTCCATATTCTCCCCTCTTATCCCCCAGTAAGCAGAGCTCTAGATATGAGGAGATTTCTGCTCCAAACCATCCATCCATCCATCCATCATCTCTACACCTTAATCCTCACTGGGGGGCGGAGCCTATACCAGCTGACTCAGGGTGAAGGCAGGTTCACCTGGACAGGTAACCAGTCTATCACAGGGCTACACTTAGAGACAGACAACCAAGCACACTCACATTCACACCTACGGACAATTTACAATCACCAATTAACCTCAGCATGTTTCTGGACTGTGGGAGGAAGCCAGAGAACCCGGAGAGAACCCACGCTGCACGGGGAGAACATGCAGGTGACCTTCTTGCTGCGAAGCTACCACCTGCACCACCTTGCAGCCCTAGTAGATATCATTATATATTAATTTTCTTTTGCATTTAATACCTATTTTTGAGACAAAAATGTGCTAAGTCTGTCGCCAGAGTTAATTATATACTATCTGTTCCTGTATGGAGAAATGGACTAAGTTTGTCATGTAGTCTGCAGAAGTGATGGATGGAAATAAAACACCTCCACACACATATTTACTCCACTCATCCCAACACGTAGGCTGTTTATTGCTTATTGAAAGCCACCAGTGGCCATGAACTTCACAGTTCAAAATGTCATACAGGCAGTCACCTGGGTGCAAGAGAAAAAAAACCCAGCATCAATTCACTACTTTGTTAATGGATTTCAACCCAGTTACAGAACAGTAACGACCCTCCCCTTCCCCAGCAATAGCAACCAAGAACACATTAAAAAAAGTCACCACAAATATCTCATAAGCAATGTGTTGCACAACAGAAGTCAGTGCCTGAGACTTTGTTTTTTTTTCCCTCCCTCAACATTATGTAAAACATTTCAGCAATTACATGGTCAACATGTAAATTAAGTTAACACATCAAATGTCACACAGTTTTTTCCCAGGTTGACGCGCTAACCCTGCTCGAAGCAGCGCCAGCAGTTAACATGATACAAAAATACAGTTTAGTATCCTCCAAGGGGGATCAGGGGTTTGCTATTTATTTTGTTTTTTGTTTTAATGGGAATAACAAAAAAAAATCACAGCATCACAGCAATAGATATATGGTACAGAAGATATTTGTGCTTTTAATAAGCCAAAAAGCTCCGGCTTACTCTGAGATGGTTACGATTCAGAGGTCAGACACTCCAGCCCCTGTTCGATCTACTGATAGTTCCTCTATTGTCGTAGCTGCTGGCGAGTAGCAACGTGGAATAACAGCAGTTTGAGTATGTGTCAGAAAGACTGTCAGCTGTCTGAGATCACGAAGCAGCTGCATGTTCCTAATGATCGTTATGTGTAATTACAATCTGGCAGAACTAGTGTTCATTTTGTTGCACTACATAAATCTCGAGGCCTACGAGTGGAAAAAATGTTAATTGAACGTGTGGAAGAAGGCGTGTCTGAGCTCCATGTACCAGCCCTGTGACCCATCGGCTCCGTTATTATCGTCTTCATGTCCAGTGGCAACACTTCGCCTCTGTGTATCCAGCATTTGGGCAAAGCAGTGCTTTTAATCAAATAGATTATGGTTTGAGAAGAGCACAGGTTACCTTAGGATATTACAAAACTGCTGCACACACCGTGGCCCACAGTGTGCTGAATATACAGACGTAAAGAGGTGAAGTGACTGCCGGCTTTCCTCATCCTACAGCACTGAGCAGATGAAGAAGCAGCCTCTCAGAAAGCTGGTGAACCCCTTTAACGTTGGATAAGCTGTTAGTTGTTCCCTGATTCTGTCACGAGAAAGCTAGAAGCTGTCGTCGTCGTCCCTTCGGGACATTATGAGCTGCCTCCTCGGACCCGTCAGATGAGGGACGCTGGCGGGAGAGTCCGACACTCCAGAGTCCAGTTTGGGAGTGGAAGTGCAGCGTGGGCCGACTCGTCCTATGAGTCCGCGGACGTCTCTGTGGAGGGCCGGGTCGCTGGGGATGGAGTTGAGGCGAACCCCCTGTTCCAGACCCCCAATGTCCCGGTCCAAACGGGGGTTACTTGCGCTGCTGGGAGACTGGGGATCGGCGCTGAAGTATAAGGTCGAACTTGATTCTGTGGGGCAGAAATATGGCTCCGGACTGTCTCCGAACACAGATTTACCCTCCGGCGAGCTGCGTTTAAAGTCCGACGTGGGCGACTCCATCGGGCTCTCCATCTCCAGACTGCTGTCTTCTTCGGGGTGCTCAGTCGACGTGGGTTCGCTCACACTCTGGAACTCGTCTTTGCAGTCTGAGAGGGGTGCCAGGCCCTTCCCCTGGGACTCGGAGGTAGAGATGCCCTCACAGCTGCCTCCAGCCGTGATCGTCATTCCTTCGTTGCTTTTATACTCTTGGTTGTACTCCTCCATGTCCAGTATGGCCGCTGCGCCCCCGGCCCCATACGCCCTGTTGATTTTACTCAGGTCTCCTGTTTTGAGGGCCAGACGGATCAGGAGCCAGTGGTGGTGGTAGCAGGGACAGGAGCTGTTCGGTCGGCCGCCACAGTTTCCTGGGTGCTCCAGCAGAGAGCCGGCCACGCCTGAGAGGGAGAAGCTGCCGTGGTTTGGAAAGGAAGGAGCTGGCAGACTTTTGTCCCCGAGAGAGAAGGAGGATTCTCCTTGTTCTATGCAAGTGCTGCCCATGTGGTTGTGGTGTGTTCCCTGGCAGATCTCTGTGGACTTGGGATGGAGGAAGCGGTAGTACAGGACAAGAGAGGTAGCACCTGGAAGCACAAGGACACGGAGAAGTTGGTGTTTTGATTTCGCCGAGACCAAATAAAAACTCCTTCTTATATCATAATGAGATTGTAATCCTGCCTGGGTGAATTTTAATTTGAACTGTGACAAATATATAGTGAGGTGTGACACATGGCAGGGTGTTCATCTGATATAACTCACACACTTCACCATGTGTGTGAAGCTCACACTCTGTCATGCTGCAACCATCAAAGGGTCACACCAACGTTTTCATTCACACACACATGAAGAGGTGTGACACATCTTTTGTCATGTTTCACAGTCACACAAGACAAACACTACATATAAATGGATGATTTTAATGTGGTCCAGGTGAAATCAATCTTATCATTCTGATTTCGTGCAGATTTTTAATTTGGTGTGGTCAAAATTTAAATCTTCCTCGGCAGGCTTACAATCTCAATTTGTTATAAGGATAAGGCCATTTTAATCTGGACTGTGACATACACATATATAAAATCCATCATCTACACACCACTTAATCCTCACTAGGGTCATGGGGGGCGGAGCCTATCCCAGCTGACTCAGGGTGAAGGCAGGTTCACCTGGACAGGTAACCAGTCTATCACAGGGCTACACTTAGAGACAGACAACCAAGCACACTCACATTCACACCTACGGACAATTTACAATCACCAATTAACCTCAGCATGTTTCTGGACTGTGGGAGGAAGCCGGAGAACCCGGAGAGAACCCACGCTGCACGGGGAGAACATGGAGACTCCACGCAGGAAGATCCCGGGTGTCCTCACCGGGATGTGAACCGCGACCTTCTAGCTGTGAGGCGCTAACGGTGCTAACCACCGAGACACCTTGCAGCCCATATATATAGACTTATTCTTTATTTCTTTATTTTATTTCGAACCAAAAGTTTAAAATGAAGTCAAAATCAAGGTTTCAAGTTGGAAAAGGGTTTTAGAAGAAGCTGAACACTTAAATAAATCTTATTATAAATCTAATGAAGGGCTGCAACAGAGCGCTCTGCGTCCACCTCGGCTGGGCCTCTATTTATTTCTTTACACACACATTCAGCACAAACATACATGAAATGTGAATTTAGTGTTTCAACTTCACTCGGTTTTTTTTGGTACCCTATGATCCCATCCTTAAGAATCCTTATAGCACACTGCTGTCATGTGTTTGATTAGTTCCATTTGAGAGGCATTTATTTACCCTCATGTTCAACTATATCAAAAATAACTGCAGAAGTGAACCATCTCACATCGTCAGGCTTTTGTCAGGACAGTAATTTTTCATTACATCAACAGTTATTTTTGTACCGTTGCTGCATAACAAGTAGCACTTAAAGGGGATTCACTGTTCGCTGTGTTGTCCGACTAAGACTTGGGTTTAACCTTTGCGAATCCCCGCCGGGGTTTTATCACCCAGATAGGACAGAAACTATTAGACACTAGTCGAATCTAAACGGCTGACACAAATCTTCTCGCATGCAAAAAGAGAGCGCCGATAGTGTCGATAAAATGACTCACCGAGGAGAAAGCTACACAGCACAGTGGCGGGAAGGGTCATACTGTCCCATGATGCTTCGCTCAGGAAGTCGGAGGCGGCCAGCAGCAGAGTGGCGTTCTCCACAAGCATGAACTGAAGGAGGAGAGAAGGTCACACCATCAGTCATCCGTGGACAGCTTTACGTCACCGTGAGCCAAGGACGCAGAGGTGAGGATGACAATGCAAACTGGTGTATGTATATCTGTGCATGCGTCTCTTTGTGCACGTTGATGAGATGAAGCGTGGAGTACAAACAGGTACAAACAGCCACCAGGACCAAACACAGCAGAGACAAAGTTGAAGGGACACTAATCTCATTTAAAGCCAACATCTTACTGCATAAAAACTGGCCATGCGGAAGCGCGAGGGTCCATCTTTGACATTCAGGAAGAGGAAGACATGGACAAGCCCCATGATGCCGTTAAAGGCACGCCAACACCAGGGACCAGTGCAGATGTCAGGTTGCTGTGATACCAGCCAGAAGGAGGCCGTGAGCCAGTGAAAACCTGGAGGTCAACATAAAAATAGACTAGAAGGTACAAGCGCAGTAGAGGATCCATGGACAGTGTATCAGGTTGATGCAGAGGAACAACGGAAAATCTGGATCGAGAGGACATGCTGCTGCAGCGCTCTGACGATAATTACATAACTCACGAATTAAGCTTAACTTAATATAAATCTGATTTTTTAAACCATTTATAAATTCAGAGTCATGGCGAGCATAAGAAAATCTACTTGATTAGTCCTTGAGCCTCTTTCACCTTTAATTGCATCTGTGCACTGTGATACCGAGTCGTAATAATTTAATACTTCTTCACTGCATGCTTCCGCCGCGTTTCGAGCGTGCAAGCATGACCGAAGCACTCGAGCAGCTCGCGTGTCCATGCTCACCTGCCACTCCACAGACCCACCAGTTAAAGACCCTGGCAAAGAACATGAGGCAGGTCACCCTGGCGCCCAGCATCCCCGCCCTCCACACCAGCTGGCACAGCAGGGCGGCCGGCGGCATGGCCAGGTGGCCCGGACGTATCAGACAGCAGGCCCGGCTGTACAGCACCAGGGCCCAGGAAATAGACAGCACACATAAACCACAGCAGTAGGCCACTGAGGGTAGAGCAGAGGAGAGCGTTACTCTTATTGGGACATTGTTCACAACGATGGGCAAACATAACATGGAGACAGTAATTCTTCTGAAGTTCACCTGGTGACATGATGCCCACATCGGTAGACACCACGACGTACGCCTGCAGCAGACTCTGAGGCAGAGTGAGGATGAGCGCCTCCAGGAGCCAAAGGGCAGCAACGTCCGCCTGCTGCATGACGGCAGCTCCGAGCTCTGCCACCGAGCCCTGCATACGCAACACACACCTCATGCAATCCCACAACCTGCCAGAAGAGGGAGACAGAGACAAACGCCACAGCGGTGATAAAACATAACCTCCTGGAGGAGGTCTCAATGACAGAAGGATGTGACTGCAGCTTTCTCGTGTACATTGGCACAAGATGTGTTGCCAGATGTTGTTGTTGTTTTTGTTTCCCTACAAATGCACACTGGATTAAATCCCTAAGCACTCTCAACGTGCTGTATTTTGTGTACGACAACTAAAGTTGCAGAGATGTTACCTTTTGAAGATGCCCAGGTGTAGTATGTGTATGACAGAGAGGTAGCATCGCCTGTCGTCGCCGTCGTCGTAGTACCATTTCACACTTAACAGCTGAACTGCCGTCCCCGGTAGAAAGAGGCCGAGCGTGAGGCCCGCCCACTGCGTCTCCTCATTCCAAAGGTAAAACCCTATACAGTAGATCACTGACACGCAAAGGACAGACACGCACATGCAAGCTGATATTAGAGTTTTCTTTGGTGAATACAGTGTGAGTTATTGTGCAGGTTTGAGAGGAGACAGCTCATTAAAGCCGGCATGTGTGTCCAGAAACTAGGAGAACATAATCCTCTTCTTAAATGTAAGAGGAAAATGTTCTGTTAGGATCATTCAAGCTCCACCGAGAAGACACTGAAACGCCTTCCATGATCTGTAAGTTACATAAGACAGACGTGTGCAGAAACGCCGTCCTGTCAGTGACCCAAACATGCATGATCGCCCTGATCATTCAAACAGACGTGTCTTTTTTCTCTGTCCCGTGGACGGGCTGGCTGAGGCGTGGAGTCCAGGCAGCAGTGCAGTATTTTTATCTTCTGGGAACGAAATACCTGCTGAAGACAAAGTCACACTTTGTCCACATCCTGTCAACGCTCTGGTGTCCTGACCTTGCCCCATTGATCTGCTTAGTCAGGGAACCACAGCACTGGGCTGCACACTGTTCTCAGCACAGACTCCAGATGTGCATTATGGCAGTAATCATAACAGCATGCACACTGATGATGGTTCTAGTGATGTGTTCTGGAGGCTGGCTGCAAGACAAGTCCAACAGTAGAGCGTTATTGTTGTTAATTCTCATTACTCTAATTAGGATCACTGGTTAAATGTGATCCCTGTTTCTCTGTGTGACCCACCTAAATGACCCCTGGAGGACTTGGGGCCCCGGTCTGGTCGACCCAGCTGGGTGAACCAGCACGTTTACAGATGAGCTACCTGCTCGGTGGTGACGGCTGAGCTACAGCAGCACCGCCTGGACGTGTTTCTAACCTGCTGCTGACGGAGCTCCAACACAAAGCATCATGGCTGAGCGTCCATTCATCACACAGAACAAACACGCGCGCTTCGCTGCCTTTGCCTCGTAAAATTCATCTCCAGCGCGTGCACTAGCAAGCTAGCAGCACCGCTAGCTCCGGGAATTCTAAGCCCACTTACGAGCGCTCCGTTCGGCCACGATGACCAGAGCCGAGGCGCCGAGCAGCATCGCCTGGCACCACGCGATCCAGCACCCGCTCCGCCGGGCCGCCGACGGCATCCTGCGGGCCACCGCTCCAGCAGCGTTCATCATGATGCGGACAGGCGGGCCAGAGAACGGACCGGTGACATTATCCCGGGCATCCCTCACCGTGGACACGTCCGCCGCCTGCTTCTTCTTCTGCGGCTCCTTCTCCCGCTGCCTGCCCCCTGTCAAAATACCTGACGTCACTTAAAGGGGCATCAGCTCCCAGCATGCACTGTGCAACTGTACACTGTGTAATACACTGT